TTCACTGTTATGGTGGTTTGGATGAAAATGGCTTCATAGGCTCACAGGGAGTGGCTTTCCTGGAGGAGGTGTGGCCTTGTTGGAGGAAGTGTGTCAATGGAGTGAGCTTTGAGGTTCCAAGATGCTCAAACAAGGCCCAGTGTCACTCTCTCTTCCTATTGCCGGTGAAACCATACATAGAACTCTCTTCAGATGTAACAGAACAACCTCCAGACATAGCTGCCTGTCTTCCTGCACCTTGTCTGCCTGCACAATGCCTTGCTTTCCTCCATGATGACAATGGATTAAGCCTCTGAACTGTAAGCCAACCCCAATTAAATGTATTTCATCACAAGAGTTGTCATAGCCATGGTGTCTCTTTACAGCAATAGAAATCCTGACTGAGACAACTACTATGACTTCAGATGAACATATGCTGTAAGTAAACTGAATGAAGACCATGGGCTAGCTTGAGTAGAGCCATCCATGCTACTTTCTGGGAATCCCTGGCAATATCCTTGGACTATTTTTTAGCTAGCTACCTGATTTCCTTTTCTATATTGGAAAGACAAATCCCCTCAAATCCCCTCAGACAAAAGAAAATGAAGGAGGAGAAGGAGAAGCAGAAGCAAGAAGTAGGAGAAGGGGAGAAGAAGGAGGAAGAGGAAGAGAAGAAGATATAATTATTTACTGAAAACTTGATAGATTTACATGATGCTGTAGACCAGCAGTTCTCAGGTTCTCAACCTGTGGGTCTTGACCCCTTTGGGGGTTGCCCACATCAAATATTTACATTATGATTCTTAACGGTAATAAAATTACAATTGTGAAGTAGCAATGAGATAATTTTATGGTTGTGGGGTCACCACAGCATGAAGAGCTGTATTAAAGGGTCGAAACATTAAGAAGGCTGAGAGCTGCTTTAGACCAAATGGTGTTACTTTGGTTAATGGTAAGCACACTTACATTTTTTTGGTATTATTAATGAGATGAGATAAAATTTCAAAAGCTCCAGTACCCTAATGGATCAGTATAACCGTTGTAACTGATAATAGTGACATAGGAGGGAGAAATCTCACAAGTGTCACAAGCCAGACCTTGGAAGGTATAGAGGGAAGGATACACCAAGAGACAAAGAAAAGTTAGTGAACATTTTGATAATGAGAATCAAAGGGTTGACAAGGAAATGTGTCAGCCTGTTTTATAAAGAGGATCCTGGCAACACAGGTAAGAAACAAATCCAAGGTCCTACAAACTTACTGCTGTCTAAAAGGGTACGTGTTACTAAAGCAAATATATAACCCTAAACTCTGTGCCCTGGTGGAGCCCTGAGACATGGCTGAGACATGGAATGGGACATTTAAACAATGTTCAGTGGTTATCATGAATTATAATTTTGTTAATCTCCAAGTGCATTTAAACAATGTTCAGTGATTATCATGGACTCTAATTGTTAATCTCCAAGTGTTTTGAAGAACATCCAAAGTCCTTACTTTACAGTAGCTAGCATTTTATAATCTCACCTGTAATACAGAAGGTTCCAATATAATAATTTTCATTAAAAAGTGGCAATCCATCCCACTGTTGTCAAATGATATCTTATTGTGGCTTTGGTTTGATTTACTGGTGGCTACAGTTTCTGATATCTAGTTATGTGGCTTGCTGGTTGGCCACTCATGGCTCTGCTGTAGAGTAGTTTCATATAAATCCTTTGACAAATATTAAATCAGGTTGTGTGTTTCAGTTATAAAAGTGCTTTATATATTCTATATACCATACCATTAAGATGATTTTCCCCATTCTCTACGTTATCTTTCTACATCCTTGTAGTGCCCTCTGATGCACAACTATGGTTTTGTTTGTTTGTTATAATCATAAAATCTACTTTACTTCTTTATCTATTGTTTTTAGTATCTTTTAAATGTTACATGGGAGACAGAAGAATCTAAGCCATTTGCAAGGTCACATGGATCTATTTCTATCTTTTTTCCCTTTATATTTTATCTCATGCAACATTTGTGGAAGAAAAATGTCCCAACGTGAGAATATATACATTTACAACATAGTGGGCTTCTAAATGTAACATTTGCATGAGACCTAATTCAGCATTGAACCAGGGTGATATCTCCATGGATTTTGTCACCACACAGTGTGTCTTCCAGAAGCAGCTGCCTGAGTGTTGAAGTGGTCCACCTAACACACTGCGGAGTTCAAGTGATGTTTCTGGATGTCATATACTTCCTGAATCTGAGACTTTTACAAGGCAATGAAGAAGAATGAAGAAGTCATACAGTTAGAGGGGAAAAGAAGGGAATAGAGGTCACTCCATTTACTCACACTACCAGGGACTTGCCAAGGAGTTGGTACTTTCTGTTGCTGTTTTTGTCCTTGGCACAGTGGCTGCTGCTGTTGTCTCTGTCACTACCTTGGCCACCTCACCTTAGGGGAACCAAAGTTGTTTTTTACTAAGTTTTTATATTTTTACTTTAGTAATAAATACTTGGGAGTCAGATACTAGGGCAAAAACCTGCTAGCTGAGAAAGGAAGAGAAAGCAGCCACGTTCTTCCTTTTCCACCATTGTCCCAGAAGGAAGAATGTCTTCTGAAACAAAACCCTTCCAACCAGATGTCCCTCCCTTCTATTTCCTGTGCCTCTGCCTCTCTCTCCCCAACCTCTCAACTTCCCCTCACTCTCTATAGCTACTTCCAGGCAACTGGCTGCTTGCTCTGCCTCTTGATCTATGGCTGATTTTATTTAAATAATGCAGTATCGGGTTCATGGTGTGACCAAATATCCTCAAAATTTTGTCCTTGAAATTTTGAGTTCATTGTTCCTAGGGAACAGAACAATGATAAATTCATCAACACTGGCTGCTGGTGAAGCATTCTGTACCCTTATGAATCAGCGCATAAGATGGTGTTGCTCTGTGGGTATTCAGCACATACTGGTGAAGAGGACAGCTGTTTTGACAAAGTGGATGCAAAGGAGAATATGAGCAGACTCAACTCATCCATGTGGGGACCCTTTGGTCCTTTCTTGCTCAGTTATGGCTATAAATATGTATGTTCAATAGCTTCACTTGCAAAAGTTGTGAGAGGATAAGACTCCTGAGGAAGATAGCTTTCAGGCACACACAGATACTGAACAAAGACTTGTAGAGAGAGGTGAGTTGATGGGGGGAGTGTCCTTCTATATGCTGTGAATATATGTTTCTCTTATTGGTTGATGAATAAATGGGGGTTGGCCATTAGCCAGGCAGGAAATATAGGCAGGGCTACCAGACTAAGAGAATTCTGGGAAAGGGAAAAGGCAGGGGAACAGCTGCCAGAGAGATGCCATGTAGCCGCTGAAAAGAGTAACAAGCCTGAGCATTATGGGTAAGCCACAACCTTGTGACAATAGTTAATAGAAATAGGTTAGTAATTAGGAGAAATCTAGCCAGTAAGATGCCTGAGCCACCAGCCAAAGAGTTTATAAATAATATTAGGCTCTGTGTGTTTATTTGGCACTAAAGGGCATAGGGACCAAGCGGGAAAGAAACTCCGTCTTCAGTGAGTAACGGCCAATAGAATTCAGAATTGACCACTGGAGAGGCAGATGATGAAATACAGCTGTGGTTCCCCAATCGCCTACAGTGACATAGCTCATTTTATATACTAATACCTTTCTAGTCTTCTCATTCTGGTAAAAGACTCGTTGGGGGTGTAGCAGACTTCCTTTTGGGCCACCAACCAGCTCTTAAATCAAGATATGGAGACCTATTATTAGTTACGAATGCCTGGTCTTATCTTATGCTTGTCCCACTAGCTTTTGTAACTTGTTTTAGCCTATTTCTCTACATCTATGTTTTGCCTCAGGGATTTTTACCCTTCTTTCACTATTTATTCTATTTTTCCTCCTTCTTCCATGTCTGTCTTACTGGTGGCTGCCTGGCCACAGGCATCTCCCTCTCTTTCTCCCTAGTTCTCTCTTCTTTGGAGCCTTGATTCCTCCTCTTACTTACTGTATCTGCCTGCCAGCCCTGCCTATACCTATACTGCCTAGCTATTGGTTGCTTTACTTTTTATTAGACCAATCAGGTGCCCTAAGCTGGCAAGGTAAAGCAACACATCTTTACATAGTTAAACAAATGCAGCATAAACAAACATAACAATCTTTTCCTAGTCAACCAAAGGCAGCATAAACAAATGTAACACATCTGTACACAGTTACATGCTACCGTAGTCTATATTCTAGGTATCAAAACGAGAGCTATTCATGCAGGGCAAGCGCTCTACCAACTGAGCTACATTCCCATCCCCCAGGCGGGCCTAAGTTAGTTTAGCAAAAACCATGTTTCTTACTTAAGACAAAAACAGTCTAAGAGCGGATATGGTTATGTGGTTAAACATTTTGCTAAATACTTTTTTGGGGGGGAAAAGGAAGTCAAAATATGGGTGAATGGAGACATACAGAGAAACCAACAGCTTGGATTTTTGAGGCAGACTGCAAGGCTCTGAAGCCCAGCTTTCTTGTGATAAGGAGAGGACCCTGGATGTCCTCCTAAGTGTTTAGTCTCCTAATCTTTAAAATAAGATAACAGTATTCAGGCCTTCCAGTAGTAATGATGAGAATTAGGTGGGATTATATATATTTCTCTGTGTAATAGTCCTGGCTGTCCTGGAACTCCCTTTGTAGATCAGGCTGGCCTCAAACTCACTGAGATCCACCTGCTTCTGCCTCCCAAGTGCTGGGATTAAAGGCATGCACCACCTATTTTTTTAAATGCTTCAAAGCACCCCCTGACTTTCTAACGTACTTTCTAAAGGAAGTGGAGTGCACTTCACATTTCAATTTCCCACTAATATTACTTCCCCAGATTTTACTTCCTCATGTTCACCCCAGAAAAGGATTTACTGTCATTTCCTGAGAGACTCCTTTTTATACAGAACTATCTGAAACAGCTCATTCATGGGTCTGGAACTTCAATCTAGTTTCTACTAAACAGTTAATTGAATGTCAAAAAAAAGGGATAAAAAGATTATCAAATGAATACTTTATTAGAGTCATAACACTTATAAAATAAATTTATCAGATTTTAAGAGCAACACTTTCTCATTTTTACAGTTAAGACATGTACAGATTCTTAAATGCCATCATTTTTGTTCAAGTGCTTTGTCATGCACACAGCTCACACATGTAGAATGCAATCATTTTACAGATGTAAGGATTCATAGTTAGTGAGCTTTGGGTTCGAGCCTTACTAATCTAGAAGAATCCATTAACAAAAGTACCTCCAACACATCTGAATGAATTCATTTAAGTTAATACCACACCGAGCACATCCTGTTCCACCTTGGGAAACAATAAAATCTCAACTAAATTCTAGTGTATTGCATTTTAGTGATTCCAAGTACAATGTACAATGTATATTTATGGCACATTTATGACTTCAATAATATAAAATTTGCAATACATATTTTTGGTGTGTGGCCTGGAGTTGGAGAAGATGAAGGAAGTAGGGGATCATAGAAGAGATAAGACATGACTTGTAAGGTTGTGAGATTGATCCCTTCATGCTACATACTGAAGAGCATTTCTTCTTTAGCTGTATCACAAAGTGAAGCCCCGTATGTACTTCTTCTGGGGGAGTACTAGATAAACAGCACTTGGCCACCGGTTATACTACTGAACATTGGTTATGTTGTTCATTCATGGTTTCCTCCGTGTTCCATGAGATCCAATACTCCAACAGCCCATGGTATTCTTAGACGATGGGTCAGCTAGAACACAATCCTCAAGCCCCCTTTCTGGAGGCAGCCCCCACTAAAGCAACGGACAGGTAGCTTGTATGGGAATACGGTGGGAGCTGTGGCCTACCTAGCTCTAATTTGTTCTTGATTCAAGCCATTTGTGGTACATTGCCAAGCCCATGATGTCAATAGGTGAATTAGGATTATTTTCTTGTGCTATTCAGTCAGAGCTAGCTTTTGCGTTGGCTGTTGTTTTAAACTGACTTTGTCTGTCTGACACCAATGTAAATGCAACATAGATATCTTGGCTATTATCAAAGCATATAAGAATCTATAGCTTTACGTGATAGTTAATATTCTACTCAAATTTAAATCAGAAAGTAAAAACAAAAACAACCAGAAGTAAAAATTCAACTCTTCAGAGAGCTATTTGGAAAAGTTTGACATACATAAATATTTATATATTCATGCACAGGGCAAACAACCATTCTATGTCATAAATAAACCAAAATAAGACATCAGCACAAGACACCAGTTCCAGTAGTGATTGCCTCTGGGGATCTTGTCTTAAGCACTCTCATGTGAGATCTTGCTGAGCTGTTTGGAAATCATTAGCTTGGAATTTACTTCATACTTTCTTTTCTCTACACCCAAGGCTCTGCTGGGGTTTGCTTGACAAACTGCATGCCCTTCCAAGGGTAAGAATCTGACTATTAGCAAAAGGCAATGTGATTATTGCATGATGAAACAAAATATATTATGTGGCCTGTCTAATGAGGTTGAGAAACTTTCATGATTAATTCAATATATGGCAGTAGTTGACTGAATTGTGGTCTGTGGACCAAATCCAGGCATGCTTCCTTTTTGTAAATAAACCTTTGTTAGGACACAGACATGTGCATTTATTTACATGACATCTATAACTGCTTTTATGTTACTACAGGACAGAACAATTGCCACAGAAACCATATGGCCTACATAAGTGCTATCTGGCCCTTTTGTAACAAAAAGATGTGTATCATTCCCTGTTTTACGTTAGATATAGAATTCAATGAGAAGCCTGCTTGGGATATATTGTTTTAGTTATTTACTATTATTAAAGTCCAGGTGACTTAAGAAACAAAAGGGATACTATTGTTTTGTGAACAGTGCATGTTTTACGAATACACAGGGGGAGATGTATTTAAAAAGAAAAGAGAGATGAAAAAATGAAAAGATACTTCTCTGGCATCAGAATGAATTTAAAATCCCACCAACGTAACAAACCACAGCTTTCCCTTCGGTTCTCTCTGGACAAAGCAAATGATGCTTGGAATGTTATACTGGGACAAATGGTACCCAAGTGATCAGACATAGAAAGCAGACAAATGAAGCTAGCACACAACTGTCAGTCTCCAGGGAGTGTCACGGTCGCCATCTTCGCAAAGCCAGACCCAAACTGCAACCATAACAAGCTGTCGTCATGAAGGCAAAAACCTAAGAAAAGAAAAGAAAAACTGTGATCAGAGGCACAGCATGGACTTTTAGAATACGCATCCGAAAGAGGCCACTGAATGAACACTCACCCACTGACCTGAAGATGCTCCAGTACAAAAAACTATTTCATAGTGATCTATGTTTTGATGATTGTGTTTTATCTCCTCAGAGCACTGAGCTTCCCTTTGTACACTGTAGCTCTTAATTTTCAAATCTACAGTCAGCCTTACATCCAACATTTGCTCACACATCAGGCTCACTCGGTAAGCCCTGTGAAGCCCCAGGCACTGGATTAAGAACTTTAGTCTGAGTTATCTAATCATCCAGTAGCTTCACAGCTAAGAAGACAGTCACAGGCAAACCCTAGGGAGACATCAAATCACTTCTGTGAGTTTGCGAACTCAGTAGACAAAACCCCCAGGAATGAGTTGTGAGTCTGGCTCTTATTCATGTGACAGCCAGTCTTCAGGCAGAAGCCCTAGCCCATTCTCTGAGCTGCTTCCTTGGGGTCACAGAAGGCTTCATTAACCCCAACTGTGCACACATCACTGCACTTAGCGTGAACAGGCATTTATTTAATGCACATTGTCCTCATGTGACACTTAGAGGCTTGCGATACAAAGATGGCAAGGCAATTCAATCCAAAATGACAAAATATCACTATCTCGGGGAGAGATTCTTAACCAGGAAACTGCAGCCTGATTCTCCCACAGAAATTTGTCACAACTTAATTAACCCTTCCCATGCCACTGGTTTCCGTAACGTATTTCTTTTTCTTTTCTTTTCCTTTTTTTGGGGGGGGGGGTTTCGAGACAGGGTTTCTCTGTATTGTTTTGGAGGCTGTCCTGGAACTAGCTCTGTAGACCAGGCTGGCCTCGAACTCACAGAGATCCGCCTGCCTCTGCCTCCCTGAGTGCTGGGATTAAAGGCGTGTGCCACCAACACCCGGCCCATAACGTATTTCTAATGTAGACAATGTCCACTGAGTGAGAAGAACTGCCTTGGGAATGTTTGATTAGTGAGAAGGAAATTCTCTCGTTCTCCACTACACTGAGTGAAAACGAAAAGAAAGAGGTTTAACCCAATGTGACACAGGAATGGCTGGAAACTCAGCAGGTAGAGCTCTGACTGGACCAGAGTGGGTGGATAAAATGAAATGCCACGAAAGACTGGAAGCATCAGTCCACACGTGGAGGTGGCTTCAATCTGGCAGAGGGAGAAGGAGACAGGCTTCCAGAGGAGGCCCGTCTAGGAAAGCGCACTCTAGAGCGCTCTTAAAATGTTGGGGCCTTGTAAGGGGCAACGGCTAAAGAGGAAAAGACACTAGACTCAGTGACGCATTATAGGAACTGTTAAATATCAATCAAGAGACTTCATTTCAGAAAGCAATTTCACTTTGTGATAGTTTTAAAAAGTATCCATGAAAAAAACAACAAAAAAACCCCAGTATTTCTTTGCATTCTTTAGCACAAAATGCCAAATTCACTACAGTGCATAAATAAAAGAGGAAAAATCTTTTTAAGTCTCTATGGAAGGCTTTCTCCTGTATCTGCCTGTCATAATGGCTGGCGAATCTGCCTTCCCACTCACTGGCACTGACCCCAACAATAAGAACTGAACTTATTCATATCAGCTCTTCCTCCCAAAAAAGAAACCCTTCTACTTGACAGGCCCATAGTAAATATTACAACCAATAATGCCAATGAAAAATGGACACAAAGTGGAAAAGAGCGAAGCTAGAAACAGGTCTCCCTCACCAGGGAGAATTAGAAGGGAAAAATTCTTACAAAGTCAAGTACTATAGACTCATTGTCATCTCAAATAATGTCAACATCTTTGGGTTGCCGTTGAGTTACACACAACAATGCAGGTGATGGCAGTACCTTGCTCATAGGATCACCAGACAGATAAATTAATAGCTACTACATGCTTAATTTTTATTTGTCTTTCAAGAGAGGGTTTCTCTGTATAGATCTGGCTATCCTGTAACTTGCTCTGTAGATCAGGTAAGCCTCGAACTCATAGAGATCCGCCTGCCTCTGCCCCTGAGTGCTGCGATTAAAGGTGTGCACCACCACTTCCTGGCTTACATGTTTAATTCTTTTTTGGGGGGGATTCTTTTTTATTTTTTAACCCTTTTTATTATATATTTAAATTAGAAACAAGCTTGCTTCCCATGTCAGTCCCAGCTCCCACTCTCTCCCCTCCACGCCAACTCCCCCGCCATGCCCCCAAAGCCCCCCAGTCAATCCCCACTCCATTCCCCAGCACTTACTGTGGCTGCCACATTGACGTTGTACTGGTTGTCATTCAGGAGCGGTCGCACAGTCATGGTTGTATTGCACTGCAGGTCATGCAGGGAGGTGGCTGCCGCTTCTAGCAGGAAGGCTCCAAAGTAGAAGACAAACACTACAAAGTGGTAGACAAAGTCCTGAAAGAGGCGAGGAAAGGCACTTGTAGGTAACTTGAAAGATGTCTGCCGGTTCCTTATTTCAAACGAAGTTTTAGACAGATGCGATCAAGTTGTCTTGAGCGTATCCACCGTCTATTTTGAGGGCTTTAGCAAAATCAGACCCTTAGGATCTAAATAAGTCCAGCCCTAACTGTGGAGGGATGGCAAGCGCGAGCTTCTGAGAGAGGGTGGGATGAGCTGAGCATGCTATATTCAAAAGTGCTCGGGAAGCACAAATTGGTCTTGAAGCCTATTTTTTAAAAAAGAGCTACAGAGTGGGTAGCTTGGGTGGCTATGACCAAAACTTGCTATATGAGAAGCTCCAAACTCTCAAAGGATAAAAAATATCAGTAGATCTATTTTATTGGTATAAGAGGAAGCTTTCTAGTATATTAAGTTTTATAATAAAATATAGTATTTTAGATTAATATACAGAGATGTCAATATTAATTAAAGTAAGATAAAAAGGTCTTTAGACTTAAAACTAAAGTAAATACCATCTTTAATGTTTAAGTAAAATTATATTTAAGTTATATCCTTTTATAAATTTCATGTACTTAATATTTTGAGTATTTGTTATTACAATTATAATTATACATTATCCTATATTCTGCAAGATAGACTTAGTGATAGCATTCAATGGCATGCAGCCTCACATGTCATTAAAAGCAGAGACTATGTAGTCCTCCAAAACAACAATTCTTTATTTAGGCTATTATGTGCATTATGGAATCAATGTGAATCATAACCTTTCAAAATCCAGCTTTCCTTGAATTAATATGTCATCCACATATTGTTTTATATTTATAGCTGCCACATTTCAGCAACTTAGGCTATGTCACTTCTCATCCTTACAGTTATCTGTTATCATTTATTATCTGCTTTACAAATGACATTTTGTCTTCCGCTTCACACAAAGGTTAACTGTTGGCAAGGGGATCAGTGCCATGCTTACCTGCTTTCAAAGTCATCTTTCTTTCATTAAAACGTTAAAATTAATGAATCATTTTAACCAACAAGTAGAAATTATGTATTTAAGGCGGGAATGTAAGGAAAGAAGGGAGGGGACACTCTGGTCAGGATGTAAAATAAATGAAAATTTTTAATAAACAAAAGAAATTATATATTATTGCATACATGTTTTAAAATATCCATTCATTATGAATACCTAAACTGTACTTATTAAATGTATCATCTCACATACTCACCTTTTTAATAGTGAGAACATTGAGAATCCACCCCGCAACTTTCCAGTACACACTGTCATTAATTAGCATCTACATGACAGAGCCTTTGGATGTTCACTTTCACTTAAATGCTACACACTCTTTGGCAAATGCCTTTTGAGCGCCCTCTCTCCACCCACTCTCATAACCACCACTTTGCTCTCCACTTCTGTGGGCTCAACTTCTTCACCTACACTCAGTAGTGAAATTATGTCATGTATGTCACTCGGTGCCCGGCTCATTCATTTAGCAAAACCTCCATGTTCGTCCATGTTACCTATGTTCACCATTCTGACCGTAAATGCTTCTAAAGTGAAGAGTTTCCCTCATTTCTAAAAAGCCAAATAGCTTTGTGTGTATACACTACATTTTATTTACCCATTATGGACTGATGAAGACCTAACCTGGTTCCATGTATTGGCTACTGTAAACAATCCTGCAAAGAACCCATGGGCCCAGATAACTCGCTGACACACTGACTGACCTTTGGGTATACATATAGTGAGATTCATGGCTCCTACGGTAGTTCTACTGTCAAGCTTTGGAGATTTCATACCATATTCTATAGTAGTGGTACTAATCTATATTCCTACCAACAGTGTTTGAAAATTTCTTCAAAGTCTACGTTTTCCCTCTCTATAAATGTCCACTCAACAGTGTTGTTCATAGTACTGTTCCTATAATGCCTAGAATGCTTTGCCAAGATGAGACACATAGGTATAATGTAAACACGTTTTCTGCGAGACACCTGTCATTGCTAATCGACCCACATACTTACATCCAAATTGGAATGCCAGTGCACTCATGAGTTAAATGTATCTGATTGGGTTATAAATTATTAATAGATGTAAAAATTTGAGAAGGTCTATTGAGATTGATTATTAATCACTCATTTAGTTTACTAAAGAGTCTCAGAAATGTTTTGTTTTATCTTAAAAGGTCAGGACAGAGGCTGGGAAGAAAGCTCAGTCAGTAAAGTCCTTGCCATACAAACGGGAGGACCTGAATTCAAACTCTGACTCTCATGTTAAAACGCCTGGAGCTGTGGCACGCAATTGTAACCTCAGCACTGGAGAGGTGGTCTTAGCACTGGGGAGCTGGAGACAGACAGAAGATCCCTGGGGTTTGATGGACAGCAAGTCTAGATCAGTTCCAGATCCCAGTGAGGGATGCTGTCTCCAAAAGCAAGGTGGATGACCCCTAAGAAGGACCAAGACCCAAGGCCCTACAGACACGTGCATACACACAAACATGCATGCGTTGCTATACATACACCCCTGGAACCTTCCACACAGAAAGGCAAGGAGGAAGTTGAGTGACAGGACTTGCAACTGTTGGAAATTTACTGCTTGTCTTTTGCATGACCCCAAGCGATGAGTTCCTGTGACTGAACTTTGTTTCTTGGTTTTCAATAGACTTGCTTATGTGTCTGAACTGGTGACACATTCTTCTTGGGTGACACTCAAGGAGACAGTACATTTGGACTGAGCCTAGTCCCCATACCCAATACAGGATCAATGGACAGGAGTGCTCTGGAGCTTCTCATGGACTTGGTTAACACAGCAACACAAATGAGGCTTCTCTCACTTATTTTACTTCCTTCTGCATTATCTAATACAGTTCTTTCTTCCTTCCTCCCCATAAAAGACACACATAGAACAAAACGGAAAAAAAAACAAAATAAAAACAAACAAAGCAAAAAACAAAACAAAACAAAACAAAAAACAAACCCCAGCAACCACCTACAACAAAATCTCCTTTCCTAAATCCTTCTTAGAGCTTGTTACTTAGTAGCTTTGAGATACTTCAGTGGTTTTAAATTTTTTTTTCCACTTCTTTACCATTATGCAGTTTTAGCTAAGCTATTAACTGCCGGATGATTGTTTTGCTGGCCTGTCTGCTGCAGAGATGTTTCAAAAGCCTCTCTTGGGCCTGGGCATCCTGACCACTAGAGAGCTATCAGCTAGTTGTCTTATTCCAATTTTGGCTATACATGAGAGTCATGTGAACTGTCTTCTGCAAGGTTCACTCATGGTTCGGAAGGAACACTTGCACCATACTGGAGGTTCTCAGGTACTGGAACGCAGCAGAACCATCTAGAGGACTTACTCAAGCACAGATGAATGGGCCCCGTCCCCCAGCTTTGGACTCAGCAGTCTGGAGAGTGTGGGCTGAGACTGTGCATTTCTGATAGGAGTCCAGGTAATCCTGATGCCTCGGCTGGGGACTACCCTTCAAACACCATCCTTGACAGGTCTTCATTAAGGTGGGGCCAGCTCTGTTCTAAGTCTTCTTCATATGCTCTTTCTACTAAACAATCCCACTGGGACTCACACTCCCAGGAGCTCTGCCTCTTCACATTTTTATCAGACGACCTCAACATCAAACATTGCTTGGAATTTTTTCTTTTCAACCCACATGACCATTTTCAAAATTCTAATCTTGAGTCAGTGTTCCACTCTTTTGCTCAGGGATGAACATTCACTAAAAATAAATAAATAAAGAAAGAAAGAAAGAAGGAAGGAAGGAAGGAAGGAAGGGAAGGAGGGAGGGGGGAAGGGAGGGAAGGAAGGAAGAATGAATGAAAGAAAGAAAGAAAGAAAAGAAAAATCATTGCAGCACTGATGGAGAAGGGATGACAGCCGCTAAACCTTGAGCTTTGTTACTGGTAGAGCGCACTCTAATTGTAGCATTCAGGAGGTTAAGCAAGGAAGATCACCAGTTTGGGCTACAGTCTGGTCTACACACACACAGACTATCTCAAAGGGAAAAAAAATAGTCCCGGGTGAAAGTGGCATAGAACGTAGCTCAGTATGTTTAAATTATTAAGTGATGTTCATAGCAGGAATCTGATTAAATGTATGCCCACTAGACTTCTGGAAAATAAAGGCAGAGTTATTTAACTGTATGAGCTTAATAAAAAAAGAAAACCTCTTTCTTCTAAACAGGAAGGATATCTAAAAAGTGAGGGGTATAAATATAGAATTTTGTCTTTAAAGTTATACCAAAGTGGTGTTAGTATCAAATCTTGGGCAGGGAGAAAGCCACACCCACCACAGCTATTTCAAAATCCAAATCGACTTCCTATTGGGGCAAGTGGTACAGACATGTAATCCTAACCACGTGGGAGGTTGAGGCCAAAGCGAATTCAGTGGTAGCCTGGGCAAGTAAGGCCCTGCCTCAGGATAAAACGTGAAAAAGGACTGGAGATATAGCTCCAAGATGGAAGCTTGCTTAGCATGCAGAAAGCCTGAGGGCCCAACTCCAGCATCACACACAAAACAGTTCCATACCTAATGTTTTTATTACACCAATTACACCCCAAATAGGAAGCCCGTGAAAACATTCTAAGTGTATCTTGTATGATGAACATGATTTTGATCCCAATTAATAAAAAAAATAGAAAAAGTGCTGGGGAAACGGCTTAGCAGTTTAAAGAATTTACCAGGTGAGCAAGAGAACCAGTGTTTGGAATCTCAAGATCCTACTAGATGCCAGGTGGGTGTGGTTGCTCCCACCCATAATCTGAGCTCCAGAAGGTGGAGGCTGGGGATTCCTAGAGCAAGCTGGGTACCAAGACCTATCCTTCAATCAGGGAGCTCTGGTTTGAATGAGACCCTGCGTCAAAGAATAACATGTTAGAGTTATTGAGGATAGTTTCTGACACCAATCTTGGGTTCGCATAGGCACATATATGCACGTTTACCCACACACGTGTCTACACAAGTGCAACCACACACATGCATACCATACTCACACAATGAATATGGAAAAATATAAAAAGGCTGTCAACACTAGATTTCTGCAACAAACACTTGTAGAGAGTGTATTATTTCTAAAATGTTTTCCTATTTCTCTCAATCATAGCACAGGAGTAGCATTAAATTATTCACGGGGGAAAATCATTACTTTTTTAGCAGGTAGTGTCTAATAATTCTGGAATGCAGGAATTAGAACTTCTACCTATCTGAGGATGGCCCCACGATGTGCATGACTCAGAAACTGTCCTGGCCTGGGCGTGCACAGCAGGCATTACAGTCCATGTAAAGTTAGATAGGTCATCAAAACCTGTATCCATGTGAAGAAAGCCTTATACAACAAGGCAGGGAAATCTAGTCTAAACCAAAGCAGTATTTAATAAACTCAAAGAAGACAGGGCTGGTTCTTGGGAAGTATGCCCACCATGCAATGAGCCGTGCGCCATGGCAACCACAGTAGCTCTGCTGTGTACAGTTATTACATGGTGGACAATATTAACTTGAGATTATGACATCTGAAACATTCCAATGCTGAAAATTTTTGAGTAGTAATGTTTGTGCAAATATTCCAATTTTTAAAAAAAATCTACTTACTTGAGACACGTATGGCTCTAACCACTTAGCCTGTACCCCTTTTCTTTAACGGCCAAATGAACAAAATGACATAGGATAATCTTCCCAGATGATGTCTGTGACAAATTATTAAAGGTTTCCTGCTTTGTTTTGTTTTCTTTTGAGACAGGGTCTCACTTTGTTTGCCCAAAGTGGTCTTGGACTTGAGCCCTTCCTGCCTCATGCATCACCAGGCCCTGCCTTCCAACAATCACTTTGATACAGTGGTACAATTAAAACAATGAGAACACTTACGGTTCCCTTGTTTGGCCATCAAACATTCCTACAAATAGGTCTGTATAACAAGACCAAGAATGACATCCAAAAAGTATTTAAGCATTTACAAGGTACGTGTACTAATCAATTAGAAAGAATACTGGATGCTGCAGTATCCTGGAGATGTTTCCAGACTGAACACTGAATTCAGTTGCTAGGCAATCGGGAGACCCAGGAGTCCTAGGAGAAGGGTCTGGTGGTGTGTGATACAGCACTTGGGAAGACCAAGCCAGATGGGCTGTAACTATTAAGAACCCTGAAGTACCAGTATGGGCAGAGTGGGACAAACGTACCTCTGACCCTCTTTGAGTCTGAGACTTAAAGACCTACTTTCCCTTAGTAACTTTGGGAATCAACAATCCCTTGGTAGACCTTCTCATGAGAAAGCTAGGCATTCAGAAAGAGGAATTGAAACATCTATCTGTATTCTAATTAGGGACCTTGGATCTTTATCAAATGATTGAGTAACAAATACTGAAATCAGTGAAAATGTAGGGAGACACTATCTCTGCAACCTCATGGAACCCAGAACATCGAAGTTCTGAATTAGAAGGATGGTTGATTGGTGATTATAACCCAGACACAAAGCTAAGCATGAGCAAACATTGTTTCCATTATTCTTTAAACTGGCGTCTGGTAAGGTACTTACTGTTACTGCTATGAACATTTGTAATTATAGCTCTCCTTATGTTCTGTCAATAGAACATTTCCCTTTAACATTTGTCCTAAAGCTGCTATGGGAAATGCGACTTACTCAAAAGAAATATATAAAGATCAAATGATGGTCTTGCTTAAGTCTCAAAACACCCAAATGTAACTAAGAACCTTATGGGGGTTACCTGTGGATGTCACTAGAGCCCTGTTTACCACAGGCTGGAATCATCCACAGTGGTCTTTTCTAATTTGTTCCAGAGAGGACCACTGGCATTGAAGAGAGGCTCTGAACAATGGTCAGACAATCACAGTGAGGGGTGCCTTATTTTAATCATTGAGTTTAATTCTGTGTTGTCATTTTTCCTTCAAGACTCACTGTTTTAATTTGATTTGGAGATGAACTGATTATAAAATATTGTCTTTCAAAACACTGGGAAAACGATATGGAGCTACTTGCTTTCTGTAATGCTTGGACAGCTCACCTCCTTCTGTGTCTGTGTATTTTTTGTGGTGATATATTATTTATAATTTAATAAAGCTTGCTTGAGGCTTCAGGATGCAAAGCCAGTCACACGCTACAGAGGTCAAGGCAATGATAATATACACCTTTAATCCCATCAACCACATTAGTTAGTCATAGAAGCTTGGCAGTGAGACAGAGGTAGATGGATTTCTGAGTCCAAGGCCACCCAGATTTACACAAGACTGAATCAGTTTAAAGGAGAATCAGAGCTCATGCCTTTAATCCCAATCCCAGAGAGATACATAAAACACTGGAGCCTAGCATCTCAGGCTGTATTGTAACATTTAGTCTCCAGTCACGCTGAGGAGAGGCAGCAGTCTGAGGCTTGGTGAAAACTTGTGGAGACAGGATCACCCCTTTTGGACTGAGCTAGTGGTCAGAGATAGTGGCCAACTGCTTTGCTTTTCTGATCCTCAACTTGAACCTTGAACCCCAATATCTATCTCTGGGTCTTATTACATTTTCCGTGTTGCTTCTGTCAGTCCCTAGTCTACCCCCCGAGTCTGTCAGTCCCTAGTCTACCCCCCTGTGTCTGTCAGTCCCTAGTCTACCCCCCTGTGTCTGTCAGTCCACAGTCTACCCTCCTGTGTCTGTTAGTCCCTGTGTGTGTGAGTTCAATTACACACTGAAAATATTGAGGAAAAAATGTGTCTATAATAAACATGTATATATGTTCTTCTCTTGTCTTCCTTTTCCAAATAATACAGTATAAAAACTGTATGTAGAGGTTGGTTCAGTGGTTCAGAGCGCTTGTCGCTCTGGTGGAGGACCTGGGTTCGATTTCCAGCACCCATATCATGGTTCTCATCCACCTTCTGACTTCCACCAACACCAGGAATGCACACAGTGCACAGACATACAGGTGACACATTCATACATAAATAAAATTAATATCTTTAAAAAACCCAAAACTATGAGCACGGCATTTACATTGTGTTATGTACTCTAAATAACCTGCGATGGCTTAAACCTTATCATACAATGTATGTAAGTAATATGGAAATTAAACCTGCATATTTAATTAAATATGGTACTTACATACATTCAAACATATATGACTTGAGAATCTATAGATGTAAATGCCCCAGATTGGAGGGTATGTCATGCAATCAATGCCACTCTTACTAAGGCATGACCAAACCCATTTGAATATCTGAAGAAGAAATGAATGGGAAATTTAAAGATATAGGTGACTCAGTTTCCAAGGCATCTGTTCTGCTGTTTGGGTATAATGTGATCCATTTGTTGCATGATATGAAAAATGTTCTAAATTATAAAAGTAACAGTGTGGTTTCTCAGTTCTATCAATGAGGAAATTTCACAAACTGAGGTGTCATGATCTATCAGAAGTACCCCTGGGCACCACAGTGACCCTTCATGCTGACTTATTTTCTCTTATATGCCACAACGAAAAGAGCAGACACTCGGGCATTTCTGAACAATAGACTTACAATAAAAATCTCTTACCAGGAAGTTCCAGTTGGCATCAATCTGAGTCACCATACCAGAGAGGAACAAGCCCAGGAAGAGAAGGGAAAAGAAGAAAGCCGTTACGGACACAAACATGACCCATCCTTGGAGCAGAGGTAGAGGAACATTGGAGGAAGCAACCAAAATCCAGACAAGTCCACCCAGCACCTGAAAGAAACAACAACAAAATCAACAGAGAGTAGCAGCTTTGCTTTACAGCAATGTTTCGTGCCACTGAGCTAAACACATTTGCATCAACTTCTCTCTCCCACTTCTCCCCTTAGGCCCCTGTGCTCATCCCTGCTACCCCATTTATCATCGTTTCCTTATCAGTACACAAGATGTGCTCTTCCCTTAGGTGCAAGACCAGCTCTACCCAGAACTTGGGTCGACTCTGTACCTGGATTTTCATGGTGGATCCTCTTCCTCACCCAAGTGTTATCTAGTCATACACACACACCTGCAGGGTTAACCAGCCATCCTCACACAACCACAGTATCCTCCAGCCATCCTCTCATACCTGTGGTATCCTCTGGTCACCCTCACACACCCGCAGTGTTCTTCAGGCATCTACACACACGTACAGGACGCCCCAGCCATCCTCACACACCTGCAGTGTTCCCCAGACATCCACCCACTCCTGCTGTGTCCTCCAGCCATTAGCACATACCATCCAGTGATCCTGCTGCCTCCCTAACCACCATGCTGTTGATGGGTTTTCGTTGCAGTCAACACTGCACACACTGTCTGGTCTTCATAGCCTCCCTTTCTGCTCTCATTGCTTGTTAGAGAGTTTCTGAGAGAAGAATCGCTGGGAGTCTAGTTTCCCCATGTGCAGCACGTGTTGCTCTGTCTTCGTCATCATCTGTCTACTTGTACTTTGGACATCAGTTCCTACCTATGACATCATAGCTGCAGCTCTTGTTCAAGAGAGCAAGCAATTAGCAAGCCACCAGCATTTACTCTCTACCAGGTTCTGGAAATCAAATTTGTACCCTAGATTCATGTCACAGTCTGTAACCACCCTGGCACTGTGCTAGGTGCTACACTGGTCTCTGTCATCACAGAACTCAGTCTAATATCGAAACTGGACAGCTAAGCACGTGATGAAAATGCTACTGAACCAATGCCAGAGCTGGGGGAGAAACTGGGCTCTATACTTCCACAAAGTAAACAGATCTGAGCAGTCAGGAAAGTTATCCCGGAAGTCATAAGCCCCAGGACTGGGCTGGGATGATGGAGAATGAATCTAGGTGGGGGATGAGTCAGTGATGCTTAGGTAGGAGCCAGGATAACATGTAGCACAGGCAGAGAACACAGATCAGCAGGATGTGAGCACCTGAGGAGGGTCTTGAGGACAGTCGGGGAGATTCAGGATAATGGCAGTCATGCTTGCCTTGAGCAGGAAGTAGCCTCTTCAAGACCTGCACTTAGAAGTTTTTCTTGCTAGGATATGAGAATGGACTAGAGAGGGAACGATGCAGGACTCAGGCCTAGGTGGGATGATCAGCACAGCATAAGTTATCATGAAGGAAAAGAGAACAGAGAGGAAGTAATAGACTAGGTAGAAATTTATGCGTAGATGATCATGGTGCTTGATCAGATACAGGATACGGTAGGTACAGTGAGGTTTCTGGTCCAGGGAACTAGGGTAGCGTGAGAAAGCAAACACAAGAGGAGAAACAGAAGCAAAGATAACCAGTTTCACCCATCTTGCCATTAAAGCAAGAAAAACGGCATGGCCTTTGCAAGACACAGTAGGCCTTTTGTGATCTTACCAGTCCTCTTTATCCTTGTCTTATGCCACCAAGCCCTTCACATTTTTTATATTACAGAAAAAAAATCCAAAGTTAAAAAACAAAGCTCTTTCATGTCTGAGTGGCTGGCATTGCTGGCCCAGAACGTCACTGGAGTGTGCTTGAGTCACTAACTTGTACCTAATCTTGAACCATTATCTTAAAAAAAATTCTCTGCCAAGTTCTACCCATTCTCAGCTACCCTATCCTTGGAGAGATTTGTTACCTATGGGACATACAGGGGAACTGAAGGCCTTGGCTTTTTCTCTGCTTTTACTAAAAGACCTTCTTGGCAGTACACTACTTCTCGTATCTCTGTATCCAAATCATTTATTAATTCCATGGTAATTCTTTCCTATCAGTTAGAGACTATGCTAGATTTTGGCAACACGGAAAGTTTGCTCACATCCTTGCCTTAAAGATGCTTCTGGCAGATAGGAACTCCCCCCAAAAAAACCCCACAGGATGTTCTCAGAGTTTGTTTAGTGAACAAACAGATTAGTGCTTATATGAGAACTCTCTGAGCTCCAAATCTGAAAGGCCAACAGGCATCTGCATGTGGATTCATATGAATATAAGTAAAACATTTGCATTTTAAGACAAAGGGCTCAGTCATATACTTTGATGTATTCTGAAAAAATTCTACAGACATCCTTCTTGTGTAAGGATAGTTCAAGTGTTCACTTAATAAACTCATAGTTGTGGTATTATTATATCTCAATTCCTATTACTTTCAAATAAAAAATTAAAAACTCCCAATGTTTTGTACAATAAATTTAAGTAATGAATATTAATGCACGTTAATTTTTAACTGCTGCTTTATCAGTGATCATTAAAGTTAGAATAAATGTGTTCCTCAAAGAGAGTATCTTCTCTCTTATACTATTTAATGCATATTTGAAGGCATAAAAATGCCTCTAATGCATCAGTCTTTGCTTGTTTCCATGGGTCCTCTTTCTGGTAGCCCGTTCTTATTTGCTACCTTCAAATAATTGATATTACTTTAAATAAAGTTTATGAATTGCAAATCAGTATTAAATTTCAATTAATTCAGCATCATTTCCTGAGCAGTTATGTGGAAGGACTGTGAAAAATAAACAGCAGCTGGTCATCATTCATTAGAACAGACACGCACAGGCATATTACTCAGACACTATGGCAAGTTCACATGTCTAAATGATCCTTTTGAATAAAGGTAGTATTTAATGAACCTGAATTCAGATAGTTGGGTCCTGAACTTACTGCTAGGCACTGAGCAAGAACACTCAAGACACAAAGCAAACAGGTGTGGTCCCCGCTTTCAGAGTTCTAACTAAGAGAGAAATACACACCATTAAATCTGATTTGGGAACAGATTGTGGTAAGCGCTATAAAAAGAACTGAGCACAGTGAGTTCCATGGGATGGGAGAGGGGAACAGTAATATTAACAGGAGGGATCCCGAAAGGTGGGCAGCAAGGCAGATTTGAAGTCAGGCTTGGCCAGGGAGGCTAACATGTACAAGAATGAGTATGGGGTAAGTCTATCAAAGTCAAAATTATAGCCTTTCTCACACCTCAAGTTTGGGAAAGGAAACCTAAAGGAAGCTCGGTACTCACAGAGGAAGTGATCTGATTGGTCTCATCTGCGGTGTGTGGGTGGCATGGCAACAGGCAGGAGAAGAGGGAATGAGTGCTAGTTCTTTCTTTTTCAATTAACCCCACCCACACAGCAACCCTCGGCACCATGTGTTTGTTCCGCTCATGGGCTAGCTTTGAATGACAGTGGATGAGTGCAATTCAGCTCTCATTTAAGTGAATGAGTAGATAGCACAATAAAATCACATTAGATTAGCCATTTTCCTCACTTCAAGAGTATCATCGATTGGCATCGACAAGGGCCTAGGTTTGACCCCCATTCTCACAAACACAAAAATAATAGCTTGGTGCTGTAGGGGTCACTCTGGCTGTGACTCAAGTATCTCTTCCCTTCTTCACAATTTCCTTTTGATGAAAGTTACCTCTTGCTTTTAAGTATCTCAACCTAGCTTCAACATTAATAAGTGGGATTTCAGTGAGACTGCCTGAACTTGGAATACTGGCTTCCAATTCTGGGCTTCAGTAAGATTGGAACATCCCCCAAACAAATGATAACCACTAGTGCCCTGTTTAGTGGAGCGAATCCTGCTCTTTGGGATGACCAGAGCACCAAAAGGATTAACATGTGAGGGAGCCAAACTGATAAAGCACCCTGGCAACAACAATTGTGCATACTGCAGAGAGAGGTATTCAAACTGCACCCACATTCTCATCTTGGATGTAAGTCCACAGTCTGACCTCACGCCTACCTCTGCCTGCTGCTGTTCCCTAGCGACCTGAAAAGCACAATGATTATGTGTAAAATGTGACTTCACCTCAAATTTCTGTCAGGAACTACATCAGGGCTCAAAGTCTAACAAAAGGCTCCTCTACACCCAGGTAACACCAAGCAGAAAGCCTTCTAGAAACATTCACCAGCTTCCTCATGGATGGCTGTCTTCATCTTGGCCCAACCTTATAGGTACCTGGCACACACAGGCTCAATTACATTCTGAGGTGAAGTTATTCATTTGTTACCTGTTAGGCTTTGAATGTGCAATGTTCTGCACTCTATCGTGGGTGGCTGCAGAATCTTTTAGAGGCGGGGCTTAGCTGGAAGAACTGGACCACTACAGGTCATGCTTTGAGGGTCATAACCTAGTCCCCTTTCTGGCTTGAGCTCTCTTTCTACTACTTGGTTAGAAGAGATCTGTGGAGCCCCAGCTGTCCACGGCCATCAACTCCACTATGCCTTCCCTTCCAGCAAACTGAACCAAAGTAAATTCTCCCTCCCATCAGTTGCATTGGTGAGGTATTTTATTATCACCACTATGGGAAAAGAAACTAGCACACTACTCATTTCTAAAACAACAGATATTTCTGCGGTTTAAAATGTTTGTCTATTACATTTGGCTTATGTACACTAGACAGGTGTGGCTTGACAATAACCATCTTCCCGTAAGAACACCAAGGTGGTGGATATTCACCTACTGGCCTCACAGTTGAAGCTGAAGCATGTTTTCCCTAGAAACTGTCCCACAAGAAAACATGATCCTGGCAAGGACACAACATTTGCAATTCTGACTGTGTGGATTACAGACATCTCAACCCATCTCCTATTTGGATGGCTTCTCCTATGCTCCCAAAGAAGTCAGTTTAGCAAATAGCTCTTTTCTTTTCAAAAGGCACTGATTTCCTGACAAGGTGCTTTTTATTTTATTTTCTTAAAGCACACTCTGAATTTTTAACTAGTAACTTTTCAGCCTACTTAATACCTCTATTTTTGTATACCATACTATTGTCTTAACTGGCTAATT